CCCCCGTATGTCCCCGCCGAGCTGTGCGCTCCGATAGTCCAGCACCACACCGTCGGCCTGTGTTGTTGCCCGCATTCCTCGCGAGCCACGCAGCGCCCCCTGAGGTCGTGTCGCGCCGGACCTGGGGTGCGTTTCTCCACGGTAGCGGCGTGAGAAACTATATACCGAGGAGGGGGCAGGGGGCAGGGGGGCTCACCCTCGCCCTGCTTGGCTGGGGGTGGCTGGGTCGTACTTCTCTGCGCGCGCCGTGGTCGCCGTGGTCGCCGTGCCCCCCAAGTTTGGGTGCCACGGGCAGGGAATCGCCTTGGCCCTGACCGCCGCGCGCCCGCTCACCTGATCCTGATGAGGGTCCTAGCCTGCGCGAGCCTCCTCACGGCGAGCGCGACGGCGAGGCCCTCCTCCGGGTCCACGCCCAGGCCGCAGCGCCTCAGGAGGGCGAGGGTGTCGAGGACGGCCGCGTGGTCGCCGCCCCAGTCCTCCTCGCAGCGCGACTCCTCGCACTGCGGCTGCGGCACGGGGCAATGCGTTAACCTCGGCGAGTGATGATCAAGCTCCCATATGAGGAGGTAGAGTACGCGACCGCCTCCCCAGCGTGCCCTAAATATAAGACGCATCGTTGGTAGGCAAGTAGTGAGACTAGATCCCCCCCCCCCCTTTTCCAACTAACACCATCACACATCACACCCCACAATCCACCCCTTCCCCCCAAACCTGCTGACATCAACTCATTCGCTTCCGTAGTTTGACTGCTCTGCATACACGCGTGGCGGGCGGGCTGCCTAGTCACTCGAGCTGTATTGGCGCTATAGTCATAGAAGCGATAGGCGAACATACAGACAGCATCAATGCGCCCTTGCCAAATGAGTTAGGGAGGCCTGTTGCAGTACCAGGAGCGCCCGCCGCGCCCGCAGGGCGTACTCGTAGCGGTCGCCCTTGCCGTGCGGCCGGCGGCCCCGCGCGGCCCGCCGCTGCCGCAGCATCTTGCTGCACTCCTCGAAGGCGTCCAGCCCGGCGGCGTCCCCGGCACCCGCCCTCGTGGCCAGGCTGAAGTGGACGATGTCGCAAAGATGCTGGTGCCTGGTGCGAACCGATGTGACGTTCCAGTTAAACATACAGTTAAACGTTCTTGCTCAGTAAATTCACCCATGTCCATCACAATCCTAAAACATACAAACTGTTTCCTGTGTAGGGACACGGCTTCTTCAAGAACGCCATTTCTCGCTCGTACTCCACCTTACTTTCCCCTGCCTTCATTACATCACCAATAACCTCCATACTGCAAAATATTGCAATGAAATATCTCACACTGGGGATGTGAAGATCCGTGTGTTACAGGTGCTCTTCCATAAACAAACTAGCCCGACCCGTCTCTATGCCTGCTAGAAACGTGTCAAAGTAACAAAAGTAACAGAAACAAACGGTAACACTACAAACATTTAGACCAACTTCTGGACACTTTTAAATGCAAGAATATCAAAAGTGCGTCCCTCTATTTGTGACTGGACGTTTTTCCGGCAGTTCACGTAAAGTCATTCTTATTCGTCCAACTTTATGCTAAGAACATGCTTCTTTAAAGCTGCTGATGGTCGAATCGCTCCGTCCACCGCAGCCATTCGAATGTTGGCGCTACTCCCCGTGTGCCACCACAGCCTGAGCTGAGCCGTGTACGTGGCGCCATCTCTCGGCTTCTCTTAGAACGTCGTGCGCCGCCGTTCTGGCCTGGCTTTATTGCTGACACACCTATTGGCACTCATCTTTTGCATTGTGGATGCTGATGGGGTGGGAGTTTGACAGAAAATATATGTGCAACTGTTGATTGACAACCTTCAACTGCGTTCGTAATAACGGCACGATAGTTCTGTCAGCGACCATGTGCATAGTTGATTAAATAATTCTGTGTATTATCAGCGGAGAAGGTTTTTGTAGTTTGTATTATCGCACTCCTTTTTCCCCTTTTTCCCTTCGCTTGTTCGCGGCGTTGTGTATTTAACCATAACCTAGCCAAACTCTGAAGAAATTGCGAGTAAAGTGTTAAATTAATTCATATTCCACTGTCAAACCTCTCATATTTATTGGCTTTGTATCTTACCATCACAATTTTAAACCTCGAATTATGGCTGGTATGTATGATTTCTAACATTTACTTTTCATTTTCGTTTAATTAGACTGAAAATCTTTATTATCAGTGCACCCCAGAGAGAGATTAATATCTTGGGTTAATTCTAAGTAATTACTGTTTCAGCAATTGATCCGGTACTTTCTCGAGGGGTCAAGCTTCTGCTCAGTAATGATCCTGATGCTGCCGAGCAGCTGAGGTCAATGCTTGCTGATGCACTTTGCAACAAGTATGGAGCAGGAGTAAAGTTGCCTCCGAAGGTGAGACCTAATGTTTTGATACTATACTTAACGTATTATCTAGTGCTCCTTCTATTTCGACAAAGAGTTTGTGGAGATCTTAAAAGAATTACACTTGTTCTCCGTCTTGAAGGTTGCCATTGAGGAACCATCAACAGACAAAAAGCTCTTTGACTCAGCCTTAAAGCTGAATTCACCATCACCACCAGCTGCTGCCATATCTGATGAATCTAGTGGCTCAGCTTCTGCAGATCTTGATGATAGCTTTTCAATGAATTTCACTGAGCTATCTTGTGTGGTGTGTGGGTAAGTAATCAACTTAAAATGTGCTGAAATTTCAAACGTTGTCTGGGATGTTTTAACATGTGTCTTAAATTTTCAGCCAGTTCAATGTTGGAGTTCGCAATCAACTCATGGAGTGCAGTTCCTGTCAACAATTGTACCATCAAGATTGCCACAGTCCACCTGTCAAAGAATTATCAAGTTCTCCATGGGATTGTGCTGAGTGTTTAAAGAAAAAACAGGTATTATTCCAAGTTCATTGTTTGATCTCATCACCACCAACTAATTTAATCATCAGAGCATCTTACTAGAAAATTTAAAGGCTTCAATAGCAGGGTGGTGTCATTTGTAATGAAAGGAAAGGCATAAACTTAATTGTGTTTTGGCATATTCTCATTTTCCCAGATGTTATTTTCAATTTTTCTTAGCATTGAAATCCCAAAGGAATGTAGTGCTTGTGGTTGTCTAACTGCTGCCACTCGCTCAATAATTTCCTGATATGAAACTAACTATTGTTATTTAATTTCTTTTTAGCCGAAAGAAGTAAAAAAAGAAATCACCTCACCTGTATCCGGAGGGAAACCTGCATCATTTGCCAGTCTTGGTGGCAGTTCAAATGGTGCGTATAAAGAGTTCACAGCTGCTAGCACCATGATGTATTCCAATTCTATCCAGTTTATTATCTTAGTTAAATTTATTATTCCAAAAATCATTTTTTACAAAATACCATAGATTTCCTCTTAGTAAATAAGGAAATAAGTTATTATGTTGTTTTTATTGTCTACAGTAACAACTCATGTTTTGTACATATACTTTAAAATGAAGTGTGCATCAATTTTATGAATAACTTGCATCTCCCTGGTTACAGGATCGTCTCATAAAAGCAAGTCAAGTTCCAGCTCCAGTTCTCACAAGTCTTCGAAATCCTCAAGTAGTCATAGCAGCCATAGTAGTAGTAGTAGTAGCAGCAGTAGCAAACGGCATTCCACCTCTTCCTCTTCATCCTCCCACAAGTCATCAAGCCATCATAAAAGTAGCAGCAGCAGACATTCTAAGTAAACAGGTATGATACTTGAATGTGCAACTGACTTTTAATCTAATTTCACAAGCTTTCATGTCATTGTAATGAATGAGTATAACTTGCAAATCTAGGTTGTTGACAGTTTTTGTATTTTAGAACTGATTTGTGGTTTTCATGATACATAAGGTTTTGAATTTTTCGTCTTGTGGAAGTAAAAATATTACTGGCACTTCTAATATACCACATACTAAATATGGATGATTGGTATTGAATTATCAGAAAAATGTTAGCGTAAACTACATGTAATTTATATTTGTTGCAGGCTCTGGACATGTACATAAATGAAGAGAATGTGTCAAAAGTATAATTTTTGTGCATTCTGATTCTCCGGTATTTGACAATGGCCTTAAGTGGTTTGGAAACATTGGGAAACATAACTCTAAGGATCTATTTATTGAAGTGGTAATTAAATTATTTTTTTCTACTCTTTGTGTCATTTTTTAGGTACCTTTTCTGTACCTTTTCTGTATACTTTCGTGTACCGTGTATCCCCTTTCTGTATTCGATATTTAAATTAATACCAATGTTGTTTGCGACACAACTGAATTGGCTCATTTATTTCCATCCCGGCGGTGCGCTTGCACGACCTGGCTCGTCCCCTGCAGTCCTCATGCCAACGCGGCGACGACTGTTTCGAAATAATGACGCTCTAGCTAGCAGCTGCAGCAGCGAGAGCCGCGGCAAGAGCGTGGGCTGAAGTTCAGCAAGGCTGCCTCCTCCTACTGCCTACTGCCCCTAGAGGAGGAGGAGGAG